TCGAGCATGGACTGGAAGGCACTCAATCCCTTCTGGAACAGACAGAAGAATCAAATCAAGCCGCCGTCCATGGCTAGAGGAGGAGGGGGAGTTGGCACTCACCCTCAAGACACTCCAACGATAAGAAACGGAAAAAAGAGCTTACTGGGCCGTGCAAATCAGGAGGGGTTTCTAGAGAAACCAGGAGACAGCGGGCAAAACTCAGGATTCAAGTTTAACGCAGGCGAAGAAAGAACAAGCGGGGCAGAGAGCGGGGAAGGAGGAGGTAGGGGGGTCGGTGGCGGTAGGGGCAACGAGGGCAGGGGGGAAACGGGGAGAGGGAGAGGAAGTGGATGAGGAAGGCAGATTCCTCAGGGCAGCGGAGATTCACGGCTCACCTCCCCGGATGGGAGGAAGAAACAGATGCAGAAAGTGGAATGGTGGCCAGAGGAAGACAACTCTGATTCAGAGGGAGAAATGGTAGAAGAGACTGAGGAGAATAAAGGAGGTGAGCAAGGAAATCCAACAGAAGACATTGCCGAGGATTTGGAGAAGGTCAGGCAAATGTTTGAAAAATGTTACGACCGGTTGGTAATCCCAGACACCTCCAAATTCGCGAAGTTCACCCTACAAGATAAGAAGGTCATTATCCATGTTGATCCGAAGTTGGAAGAAGCACAAGAGGACTGGCTGAGGGAGAATGTAGTAGTTGTCTTCTTCCAGGGCTCTTTCCGTTCGGTTTCAGCAGAAAGGAAAGAAGAGTGCATAAGAATTATAGAGGACACGATTCTGCCTGCGACATTGCATCACAAGGAAAGAGGGAGGGTACATCAAGAAGGCAGAAATGTGATGTCCTACCTCCCAAGAGACAGAAAAACAGTAGACCTCYTGCTGCGAATGGGTTCTCACAAACTCAAGGTRGRAGRGAAACAGTATAAACTATCCTTCAAAAGATGGATGTCAGAAAAGGAGATAGAGGAAACAAGGGCAGAAGATGCTGTCAGTAAGATCTGGGTAATGACCCTTAGAGTTCCAGTTAAAGCGGTCCCCTTCGTGAGATCAGGAATTGCATTCGCTGTGGGCAAGGTCTGCAAGCAGTACCCCTCAGAGAGGTACGAAGACGCGCCCAAATTAAACAATGTGAAGTTCGACATCCCGAGAGATCGGAGAGATAGGGTGCCTGAACAGCTTGAGTGGCCACAGAAGAATGAAACTTTTCTCAAGATCAGAATCGTCACACAATACACTGACTACTGTCATTTCTGCAAGGATTATGCGGGTCACCCACCAACAGCCTGTCCATTAACAGTAGCAATCAACACAACATCTCAGGGACAATTGGTCTCTGTCCCAACCCCTTCAGGGGCAAGCTTGGGTGGTGTTCAGGGCACCCCTCATCCTCCCCCCACCTCGTTCACCTCCGTTCATGATAACCACGGCCTTAGAGCGGGGGCACTGCACATTGGAGAGCCGCACAAAAATGGGAACCGCCCTTGGACCCTCTGGAAGTTATGGCCAGTGCTTGTAGGGCACCCCCCTCATTCAAAGTGGGGGCAAAGACCATCCCCTCGGCTTCAAGCACACTTGCAGGCAATAAGCCCATGTGGTCGTCGTGGAGGAAAGCACAACAAAAAAATGCCTCAGGGGAGAGTAAGACTCAGGGCACACTGCCCCCAAAAGAGCCGACAAACGAAGTTAAGGAGGATTCCGAAGTGAATGCTGAAGGGTCAATTATAGTGAAGAAGGACTCAGTGGGAGGTTTGGACACATTTCCCATCCCTGCGATGCCCCAAGCAGAAGAGAAAGAAATCAAGGCTACCCCCACTAATCCCAAGGAAATTGGAACAGATCAGAAGGGGAAGGAACTCAAGACTCACGAGTTGCTAGGGGAAGGAAGAGAGTCACTTGAGGAAGAAAAGGAGAATCCGGTGGGGGTTTCCAATCAAAGGGATGCGAATAATGAAGATAGTGAAATGGAGGAGAACGAAGAGGGTTGGGCGTCAGAGGCATCCTACCACTCGTATGAGTCGGCTGGATCGCTTGATGAAACCGACACCCCTAAGGAAAAAAGGGGCAGGAAAGGTGAGTCAGAATTCGCCCACCCCGAAAGTCCCTTGGGGGTCAAAGCCCTCTCTGAAAAATCAAAATTCAAAATGAAGACAGTAAAAACTGAAGTTGGAAAAAACGAAGCAAACAGATATGTTGTCCCATTGATATGCAGACAAACTTCAGAAGGGGTGAAGTTCCTGACCCATAGCAGAGAATCTAAAATCAAGCATCTCACTCCCTGTTCTGTTACCGGCAATCCGAGCAGGAACCAGATGTTGTCTAAGGTGCGAGACTATTTGGGCCCAAAGGTGGCAGTCAGGCTTGTCCCTGGAATCGGGACAAGGAAGATCTCTCGCCCAAGTGCTACAGGGAATCGCCTACATCTGTACATGGCTACCTTTGATGTCAGGCCCACAGAGTCAGAGTTGAAGGAACTAGAGTCGGGACATGCGGTCTGGTGCCCACTTGATTGGGCAAAGGACGAAACCACTATCCATGCTCAAATGGTATACACAGTGGAAGCTATCTCAGGGGACGTTCTGATAGAATATAACCAACAGCTCGCAGCAGACAGCAATCTCTTCTCAAAGCATTTGTCAGAGATGCTTTCTGCTCCGTGACAATTTTCTAGTGGTACTTCGGCCTCTACGAGTAGCCGCAGGAGGAAGTCAAGTCTGAACACAGGCCAGCCCGGTTCGAACCCACACGGGAGGCCACAAGCACCGCCGACACCCTCACTGCTGACCCTAAATGGAGGAGGGGAAAGAGTCTCAATTTTCCCCCCTCCCAACATGTCCCTTATCCAACATGTAGAGGAAGAAAAAAGAAATGAATAAATTAAAAATTGGCAGTTGGAACGTAAGGGGCCTAGGAGATAGTGGGGGCAACAGGAAATGGGCCAGGATGAAATCCTAGATGCACCAACAGAGGATAGATGTGATGCTGCTCCAAGAAACAAAACTAAGTGAAGATAAAATTGAGGAGCACAGATGGCAATGGCATGGTCCCCAGTTTTGGGGACCAGCGGATGGCACCAAGGGGGGAACAACAATCCTATTGGGGAAGAACCTGCAATTCTCCCTAATGGATGAATTCTCAGATTCACTTGGTAGGTAGGTATGGATCACAATAGAGCTGGAAGGTCTTACATGGTCCTTCATGTCAATTTATGCTCCAGTGGATCACAGAGAAAAATTGCAATTTTTTGAAATTGTCCCCCACATCATGCCAGCCACAGACAACATTGTCCTGGGAGGGGATTGCAACATGGTTCTCGACCTCATTCTAGACTCCTCCGCCGGTGACCCACTTCGGGAAGACTCAAAGGCCCTGACAAGGTTTGCAGAGAGCCAGAACCTGGTGGAACCGTTCAGACTATTAAACCCAAAGCTTAAAAAGTACACGTGGGTATCCCCCAGAGCCAGAGCAAACAACATTCACACAAAATTGAGGCTTGATTTCTTTCTATTAAGAGGCAAAGCCGCAGAGTGGGTCATGGAGATGCAGATGCCCTTCCACTCCTTATCGGACCACAGACCTGTAGTGGCGACACTCGTGCCGGACAAAAATATTACTAGAGGCAAAGGTTATTACAAACTTAATATAAAAATCTTGAAAGACAAAGATGTGATTAACTCCATATCTGGGTTCTGGCGAAAATGGAAAAACCTCAAGTCTTTTTTCCTGTCAAACTGTGAATGGTTTGAGGCTGGTAACAGATCTGCTGCCGCCTCTTTGAGTTTCGCCTCAAGAATAAGGGCATACAACATGAAGAAAGAAGAAGAGGAATGCATTGACAAAATAGAGTGGGAAGAGAATAACTTAGGAAAGGAACCCTATCTTGACGATTACTGGTACGAACAACGGTCTATGTGGAAGGATAAATTGGAGAACATGCAAATTGAGAAGGAAAAGGTATGGGCCGAAAGGGCCAAGGTCAAGTGGATGGAAGTTGGAGATAGAATGACAAAAGAAAACTGCAGGAGGTTAGCAGCACAAAAAAGAGTCTCTCTCATTGTGGAACTAGACCATCCTTTCGACTCTTTTGAACCTCGTGCCAAAACATCAGTAAATATCTTGGAGTATGCCAGGTCATACTACCAGAATATTCTTATCTCCTGTAGGCCATCAGAGATTGTGAGGAATGAACGAGAAGCATACGAGGCTCTGTGGCAAACGTTTGACATGAAACTGCCCAATGATGTTCGGCTAGACCTGGACAGGCCGGTTTCATTGGAAGAATTGACAGAGGTCATTCGGGTCATGCCCAAGGGCAAATGCCCTGGAAGTGATGGTCTACCAACAGAGTACTACACCCAGTTCTGGGATCTCTTGGGTCCAGAATTAGTGTCTATATACAATGATCTTTTACTGGAAAGAGAGATGGGGGAGGACATGAGACTGAGGGTCATCTCCCTCCTCTATAAGAAGGGTGATAAAAGGAACATCCGGAATTGGCGCCCCATTTCTCTTCTTAACCTGAGTTACAAGATCCTAGCAAAAACGCTAGCGTGTAGACTAAAGAAGTATCTCCCAGGTTTGATTGGAGTAGAGCAGGCAGGTTTTGTGCAAGGTCGCAATATTTTGCATAATATTCTGCTAACAATGGAGGCTCTAGAGTTAATCGATGAAAAACACCCTGAAATGGTAGCTCTCCTCCTAGATTTGGAGAAGGCCTATGAAAGGGTCAATTGGAATTTTGTACTAAATGCCTTGGACAAAGCGGGTTTTGGGACTAATTTTTGCACATGGTTCAAGGCAATGTACGCGAAGGGAGTGGGGAAAGTCATGGTAAATGGCCTAATATCTTAATCCTTCCCTCTCTCTAGATCTCTTAGGCAAGGGTGTCCCCTTGCCCCCCTTCTGTTTGTGCTTCAAATGGAAGTGCTACTCTCATCAATCCGGAAGAATCCGGCGATCGTAGGAATCCCGTTGAGCTCGGGCGAGCAATGTAAAGCCTCCGCCATGGCGGATGACCTTTTTGCGTTGTCTGCTAACACTGTTGGGTCTCTCGGGGAACTAAAGAAATGTATCGACCTTTACTCTCAATTTTCTGAGGCTCTTGTTAACTGGACTAAGTCAGTTGCTGTGCTAAACAAGAACACTTGCCTAAAAGTGGACTGGGGCCTGAGATGCTTACCTGTACAAGACAGCGAAAGATTCTTGGGTGTGCAGGTGGGAATGTTGAATGCCAAGAATCAAGCAAGCACGCTACTAGAAGGCAAAGTGCTATCCAAGATAGAGAAGGTAGCTGCAGTACCAGGGGTCTCCATTCAAGGGAGGGCCCTCTTGTTGAATGTGTCTATATTCTCCAGCCTATGGTATGCAGGCGCAGTGAGGCCATTGGAACAAGCCTCCTATGGAAGAATTAGAAGCAGAGCCATACGCTACTTATGGAAAGGTGTCTTCCAGGACAACATAGGTTTCATGGCCAAGGTGGCATGGAGGAAAGTGATTGGTCCCAGAGAGGAGGGCGGTTTGGGTATCCTGGATCCGGAGGCGCAATTGAATGCACTGTTGGCGAAATGGCGCATCAATCTCTTGTTTGAATGCTCAGGTCACCCTTGGGGTGACCTAGCCACCAGCTCCTTGGCATCCTTCTGGGGGCTGCAAAGGAGAGACGATGTAGGAGTAGCCTTGCTCACCAAGTCTTTTGTGTCGAAGAAAGGAGTATCAGGGGTATGGGCGGACATCATGAAGGCCTGGAGCAAGGTTCTTCCCACTCTATATCAGGTACCCCGCACTGCAGAGGAGGTGCTTATGCAGCATCTATTTGAAAATATTTGGTTGAAAAATGAGGAAGGCCTGCCATGGTCTGCGGATGAGGTCCCTGGATCCTTTGGCCATGCATGGATCCAGCGTGGTATCTCTAGGATCAGTGATCTCTGGGACATGGAACTGAAGCAGTGGCGCTCTCCACTGGAACTGAAAGGAAAACTCTCCCATATGAGATGGGTGTCAGAGAGAGTTCACGCAATTATTGACAGCGTACCTGATCATTGGGTACAATTGCTTCGCTCCCCAGTGGATTCATTAGTGGGTAACTGGGTAGCTAATCAGTTGGAGGCTCTTCCTCAGGTCGTCTGGAAAGTCTCAGAGGTGAAAGACGAACACACAGCAGTTAGGATCAGTTAAGAAGACAGACAGTGGGATGCTAGAAATACTCCCATCTGGAGAGACCACCACAATCAACATGAACCAGTGGATCAGACAGATTCTGGTAGTTGAAAAATCTGTTAACAAAAAGGAGTCTCAACTGCATCTACCTCTTGGATGTAGAGCGATAGGCAAGCTACTAACTCTCCCTCTACACTGGGGGTGGAAACAGCCAGACTCTAATCAAGTTCTATCCCTGTTGGAATACAAGCCAAAGGTGGGTTACCTAGAACAAGTGAAGCCATGGTCTGTGGCCTTTGAAGTGAAGAGTAAGTGGTTGGCAGAAAGTCAATCGGAGGTGTTGGCAAACCGTCTCGTGACTACAAAGGAGATTAAGAAAGGCTGGAAATCAATCAAGCGGATCGTGTCAGTTAAATTTGCCAGCTTGGCGTGGTTGCAGTCTCATAGGGCTATTCCGACCGCCAAGTGGCTTAACAGAAACAAATCATTGCTACAGGAACAATGGTGCAGATGTAAGAAGAGTACGGAATCTGCAGAGCACCTGTGGTGGGACTGTGTGGAATCAAAAAGAATCTGGATGTGGTGGAGTAATCACTGGGAGAAGTTCGGTTCTAGTGAGATCAAATGGGATAGACAGTTTATCTTGGATGGCACCCTCTCCCCGGGGGTGTCACCCAGCAAAGGATGGGGGTACGTAGCAGTGGCAGTGAGGGCCGCCATCATGAATGTGATTTGGAAACTGAGAAATGATAGGCTGTTCAGACAAAAGTTTTATTCCGACATCTTCATCCTACAGACCGTTCTAGGTAATATCAGGATGATGATATGGGCGGACTGGAGAAAACACATCAGGACAGGCAAACTGTCTCAAGGCTACAGGTGGTTCTTCTGCACCTGGGGAAGAGACAGTAAGTTGGCTTCAAGGAACAAGCAGGGGGGGGTCAAACTGGCACCTTGGCTCCTGGGGCCCCGGCCTCCATGAACGTAGCCACCTGGTTTGCCATTTGGAGTAGCCGAATCTTATCTTGGGGAAGTTCATCCCCCCCTGACAACGTGGAACACACTGAGTCCTATAGGCGGTCATGGTGGTCTGCCTAGACATGTACTAAGTTCCTACCAGCTTGTGTACTATAGTTAGATCTGGCGCCCTGAATGGGTGAAGAGGCTTATAGCAGGTGCTGCACCATTAAGTGGAACAGACACAACTATTTGGAGCTGAGCACTGTTTTGGGTATCCTGGGGATTGGTCCCGAAGGGTCTTCGGCCCGTAAGCGAAACTGGGTAATGCTCCCAGATGTTTATACCGGGTAGACTGTGAGGACCCCGGCCTCGAACTTTTATTGGAAATATAAGGGTCTGATCCCACCACTAAAAAAAAACAAAAAAAAACAAAAAAAAAAAAAAAAA